TCGAAGTGGCACATAAATGGTAAGGCGTCACTATCTATTGCTTTTGTCTGCATTTTGTTTCCATTCAGTAATGCCTTTCTTTCATGTTTTTATCTCATACTTAGTATTTGCCTAATGTTATTGTTAATACTGATTGAGAAAAGAAAAAAATAAAATATCTATTTACTGAAAATATAAAGTCATTCAATATTTATTTTTTTAAATAGTTAAAAGTATTAATATAATATCTTTACTGTTTTTTTATTGATATCCTCAAATATCATATACTCTCTCCATTAAAAATTAAATGTAGTTTTAATACTTTTTTTTTCTAAATTATCTGTTTTTTATAATACCAATAAATTTTTTAAAATTCTACTCCTTTTATTGAATGAGTTATGTTCATAATTTAAAGGCATAGAATATATTATTATAAATACTTTCAATAACTTAAAAAGTCTCCATCTAACAGGCTTTTTAATATGTCGTCATTAATAAAAAAAACAAAAACATAAAGTTTTTAATAAAAAAGAGAGATTATTGTATCAAATATTTGAAAAATATTCAGTACTTCTTTTTAAGTAATTTAAAATATATAATAAAACATATTTAATAAAAATGAAAGTATGTGTCCATGCGTATATAATGAAAAAAGTTGTTTCAAATCTTCTACTTTCTCCCTTTTTTATCATTTATCTTTTGAGATAATTTTCACTTCTTAAGAAAATTATTAATTATACAAGTAACAATAATAAAAATAAATTTAACAAAAATATCATTAGAAATAATTAGAATGTAATTATGACTACCTTAAGTATTATTTAAGTTATATACTAATAGTAGAAAACAATATATTATTTTCACGCAATTATAATTTTTATTACTTTTAAAATATTACATTTTTAATAAAAATATAATTTTTAAAAAATTAAAAAATAATGAAATAATTAACATGAATAGTATAATAGTAAAATTAAATTAAAATGGAAAACGTATGGTTGCTATGGTAATTATTATGCATAATTTTATTAAAATAGTGAAGATAAAAATAAAAAAATAATATTGAAGTATAATTTATAAGCTCAAAGATATTTGAAGTGGTGTATTAAAAAATATTATAAACTAACAAATTAAAATTAACTTATCTATTACACACTTGTACTTTTATCAAATTAATTATAAAAATTTAATATATAATTTTAAATTTAATAAATATAACTATTAAATATTTAGATAAAATTTTGTGGTTTATAATGATTTGACATGACTTAAACAGAATTATCTCTTGTGAAAGATATTTATGATTTAGAAAATAAAAGAAAAACTAATCAAACAAGTAATAAACTTTTTTTTGTTTTTGGCAATGTAATTAATGCATTAATGGATATCATATTTAATTTTCCGGGTGAAAAGTAAAAAGTTTCACGTCTTTAAAAGAAAAAAGTCCCTGTAGTTTTTGCAATAAGCCAATAACCATAGTTTTGGAGTTTCAAATAACACCAAAGACACTATTAAACTATTTTGCCCGTTTCTTATTAGACAATGATAATAATAACACCAATCTCAAAACACTTATCCTGATCAAGTCTATCTGCTAGCTATAATTCTAGAGATACTGCATCTTGTAGCTGCAGCTGTCGATTGAAATATATGTTTTTGTCTTCTCTGATAATTTCCATTGCTACAAAGGACAAAAGCTCAATAATTTTTCCATTGCAGCTAGTAAAATACATTAGCAAGTCTAGAAATGGGAGTCCCCCCTACCCTTATTGATTATTGAGAATTGATAATCATTTCTTAATTTGACGAACAGAAGATAAGTATACTTTTTTGCTGAAAAAAGATAATTATGCTTTAATAACTCTCGAATAGTTACAAGGTTAGCTCACTGATCTTGCTATGATTCAGTTGGCCTTTTCAAAACCATCAGGACCATTAAACGACAAAAATGCATGATCAGATCCAGTTGGTGAATGGTGATACCTCGTGTTATTTTCCTCAATAAAATATAATTGTTTTAATTTTATTCTTTTTTACTTCAAAACTCATTTCATAATTACGTGCCAGGATGTCCAACCCACATAACGGTTTAATCAAATGGTTCAAATCTAATTTCTTCTATGATCTTGTCATTTCTTCTTTTCTTTTCTTTTTTCAATTATGTGGGGCAAATAGTGAAGTGTGTTGGTAATAGAAACGACAAAGCTATATCATGTACTCATTTCCATTTCATGATTCATGGCCTGATGGCCTCTTCTAGACTCCTTAATATAAAAAATCGCTCTTGCTAATGTGTCGATTGATAGGACTTAATCTTATTCAAACATGAATTAAGATTTAGAGTGTTCCACGTAACTCAAGACAATTAAAACATTATATAAACCTCAAAAGATATACATCAATTGGGTGAGCTTGCGAGAACACCTTCCATCCGTTAGTTTTGTTTCATATGTTGTTTTGTTATTGTTAGACAAGTGGAGAATTACTGTTCGAAAATGATGAAAGTATATATGTATCGCATGTTAAATGAGGATGTATAGTTTACCCAAAAGGGATGTATAGATATGGCATCGTGTCTATGCAACGTCATGACACATATATACATGCTTTTAGTATTATAAAAGAGGTCCTTTTTTTCTCTTTTGGTGAATTACAGAAAATCAGATTGGAAACAACTGCAATTTTTTTAGTTTGTGTGAAGACATGAAATTTATTATTTCAGCTATGTTCAATTTTTTTGGGCCTACTTGAGTAAGTGATTAGACACATAGTTAAACTTGGGTTAATTGACATCATCATGATAGTGCCGTGTTTAAGAAACTTAATATTATAATAAACGAACACAAACGGAGCTCATAGTGGATTGAATGGATGTCCTGCAAAACTTGTTGGTGTGATTTTAAAAGAAGCTATCTGCCATCAACAGAACTGAATTTTTATTACTTCTAATGTGAAGCCCACTTTTTGTTCATAACTTCGGTTGACAAGGATAAAAGTTGGCAAGATTGTAGGGGATGGGAAACCAAATGAAAAAGAAACATAAGAAAGCATGCTTCATGATATATATTAGTTATTTTCACTCTTATTAGGGTAAGCCTGAATCATCCAATTTGTAAACCTTAATATCATTTCTATCACACAGTTTGCTAGTGCCGCAAGCTTAATTAATTGCCTAGAAATCTGCTTTCTTGTTCTTTTTTTTTCTTTTTGCTTGTCCACTACTTCCATTATTATTATAATGTAATAAATATTTTTTAAAAACAATTATTAATTTTCAATACTTAAATTTAATCCTAAATATTAATGTTAACAGACTTTATTATTATCGGTCAAATTGTTTTCTTTTCTTCTTTTTTTCAAAATCGGTTTCTTGATTGTGAGTCGTGATCGTGTGTATGCTTTAATTTATTAATGGATCTATTCATGAATGTAAAGTCCTGTTGACCAAAAATATAAATGTAAAGCCCAGACTCCTGAGAAAAAAAATCGGCCTGGGCTCACAAACCCAGTAACAAATCCGTACTCACCGCCTCAAAATAAAATTTGTTTATAATATGATATTACATAATGAAATGATAAAATTATCGATACCGAACCTAAACCATTTTAATGAGTAACTATACAAACTAAAAATTGTACATTTACTTTAGGTCAATTACTATTCCTATAATTGGCAATGTTTTATAAGAATCAATAAATTAATTGATCTTTGCTGTTTGAGATTCAAATTGCTTTTCTTTTTTTGTAATTACAGTGAACTTTAATCTCTTATGGTCAGAGAGGAGGTAGGAACTTATAAAATGCTTTTTTGTCACTTCTGGAAATGTTGGCTACTGTCCATTTATAGGGTTGTTGCCTGTTGCCTTTACCCTCTTACGGGGTGTGGCAATCTGTGTATAATGGTATTCATCATCATCACACATTGTTTCTCCTTGACAATATTGATACTCTTTTAGAAAATGGAATTAGCTACCGTAGTTGTCTAGTCTGAATATAACGCTGGGTAAATCCGCCCATGGAGTGTGTATGTCGAAACACTTTCCAATAGAATTGTGAAAGAAATTACAATCAGATTTGGCTGTATTATTTAGACTTTTCGAACATAATCAAAGCTTAAATATGGCCACAATCTTAATTTAAAACCATATTACGTGCAATGAATTGGAGAGCCATCCTCTCATGAGTATACTTGATCTCACATGAATGATTTTGTAAATATTTCAGTCAACCTTTTTTAAAACTTAATCTAACATAAGAAAATGCGTTTAAACTTTTAATTTTGAAATTTTGTTTTTGTGATAATTGTTATGATTTTCTTAACATCATTAGATAATTTAGACAATTTTAGTAAAATTAAATTAAATAATTAAAAAAACTGCTGGAGAACAATGTGTAGGGACACAATTGGTTGAAGGGAAAAAAGTCCAATTAATCCAATCGTGTATAATCACGTAACTTCATATTAAGATTAGTTTAAACATATATTTTAATTATGTTGAATAATAGTTACCCATAAATATTCAATTTTGTTAAGTCACCCGTGCAAAAATGTGTAATATTGTAAATTCGCGCATTAGATGTGGGACGTGGGAGAGGTGTATTAGAATAAGAGTAATCCTACTGCGGAGCCCGAGAGAGAGAATCTCTCCTTGACAAATAGAAACATGCATTCAGGATCTAGCATCATCATACATTATTTTTGTCCTAAAAAGAAAGAAGAAAAATCAATGTTAAAATATATTTGAAAGGTTAATGTATCTATTTATTATTTTGATTAATTAAGTTACGTGGCAATGTAATCTTGAAATATAGGAAGCATGCAAGGAAAATCAATAAAATTTGGCTTAATCTTTCTACTTACAGGTTCTTCAATTTAAGTAGGTCAATTTTCAATTGCGTAATTTTAATTTATTTTTTTCCCGATCAAGCAAATTTTAAAATTTGGTGAAGTAGCTCAATCAGAAACATCAACTTATTCCTATTTCTTCATTAATTATAACGTAACAATGGCTTAACAGAAGTTTAAAACTTGCTTAATCAGGGAAAAAAGGAGACACTAAAATTGATCAATTGAGACTAAAATCAAATAACCTAAACGTAGAGGAACCAGAAGCAATTAAGTATAAAATCTTGTACTAGGTTAAGCCTGAATCATCCAATCCAAGGAGGGAGGAAGAGGAAGCAATAAAATCATTGACCAGGTTATACAATTGCTTTTGATGGGTGCGGTCACGAACCTCAATCCCGTGACAGCCACCTTCACTAAAATGGCTCACCACTGCCACACCCTTCTCCTTTATGAGCTTGGCCAGTGCCACCTGATGGTGCACCAGTGGGTCCCCATGGCACCCAGTCACCAGCACACGCCACCCAAGTTGCCTCACCCGATCCAAAATGGCAGGCCCATCACCGGCCGTTGGATTGCAATACTCGTGATCACGGTCAACGCCAACGGGCAAGGACAACTCCCAGAGCAAGTCGCACACGTGCGGCGGCAAAACCGGATCGTTTTCCAGCTTCAGCTCGGAGGGCACCCTCTTTGTTCCACCGAAAAACGGTTGGGTCAGTATGAGGCCTCTGATCTTGAGGGGCCCCAGGTAATCCCGGTCAACCTCCGCAGCCACACGTAGAGCCGCGTGGTACGCGATGTTTGCTCCCGCGCTACTTCCCATAAGGTAACAGTTGGAGTAATCAGCGTGGTTTCTCAACCAATCGTTTGACTGCGCTTTGATCCAGTGCAGCGCTTCCACGGCATCGTGGTACGCCGCGGGAAGTCGGTGTTCGGGGGCAAGACGGTATTCTACGGATACGACGATGGAGTTGACGTCGTTTGCGAGGTTTATGCAGGCATCTTGAAGGAAATCGGAGGCTGCACTGAATAGGACGAATCCCCCGCCGTGGAAATAAACGATGAGAGGGAGTTTTTTGGGGGAATGATGGAGTGCTTTGCTGGGTAGGAATATGCGAGCAAAGGTGTTGTTTGATTGGTTGATGGGGGCGTCGTTGGTGAGAACGGGGATGGGAAGGGTGGGATCGGGTGTGGGTGGGGTGTGTGGGTCTCGACGCAGGCGAGTGATGGTGCCGTTGGAGTTGCGTACAATTTTGAGATGGTGGAAAGGATTAACCTGGTTTGACATACTGGTTCTCTGATCTGATCTTGTTCAATGATTCGAGTGCTTTCTGCGCTTTCGTGCTTCAATCCAATCCCTTCGTTGTCTTCTGCGGCCTCGTTTCCCTTCACAAATCATAACTTCACATTTCATTAAAATTTTACAAGTTGTTTGGATATTCACAAAAGTGACAATTACTCAAAGCTGACAAGTCTAACAGATCGATCATTGACCATCTTTTTCTCACACACAACGTCCACTTCGGTTCTCAATTACCGACTTCAAATTTTTAAATAAAAATAAAGAAATAATATTTTGATTATATAACTTAAAAGATTTTATTTCTTTATGTTTCAAAACATGTATTGCATTAATACTTAAACAGGATGTTATGTAATATATGTTTTATTGAATTTAAATCGCATGTCAACAATAGAAAATTGAACTTTAAATTATCTTTTTTACAACAGCTATATTTCATTGGACATGCTTTTCTTTTTTTCATTCGATGTCAATAATCAACGTTTATTGAGATGCAAAGACCACAAGCACAGATCAAGAACGCAGACAATACAAGTGGCATAACAAAGCATTGTGTTGCTAACACATCAATGAAGACTTCTAATAAAATCATAGACTTTCTGGGACATGGAAGGGTCACCCACAAAAATCCCATGGCGACCACCTTCATAAAATTTTCCCTCAACAGACACACCCTTGCGGTGGAGCAATTCCACCAACTCTTTCTCGCGGTCCACGAGTGGGTCCCCTTCGCACCCAAACACCTCAACGCTCCACCCAAGCACCCTAATCCGATTCAATACCTTAGCTCCGCCCTTCGCCATTGGATTGGAATACTTGTAATCACGGTTAGCGCCTCTGGGCAACGACAGATTCCACAGCAAATCAGTAATTGCCAAAGGCAAAGTCCCATCCTCAGCGAGCCTCATCTCTGATGGGGTCCTCTTCGTCCCACCAAAAAAGGGTTGAATCAATATCAGCCCTTGTATCTTTAGCGGCTCGATTTGATAAAGCTTCGCGGCTGCACGTAGACCCACGTTGTAGGCAATATTACCCCCGGCACTCTCTCCCATAAGATAACAGCGGGAGTAATCAGCGTGGCGCGTCAACCACGGATCGTTGGAGGTTTTGATCCAGTGCAGCGCCTCCACGGAGTCTTCAAAGGCCGCAGGAAGACGGTGCTCGGGGGCGAGGCGGTAGTCGACTGAAACGACGAGGGATTGGGTTTGGTTGACGACATTGACGCAGAAATTGTGGAAGTAAGTGGAAGCGGCGCTGTCGAATATAAAGCCACCACCGTGGTAGAAGACAATGAGTGGTAGTTTGGAGTTGGAGTAGGGGGGATTATCCAGTGCTTTGTGGGGAAGGTAGATCCGAACCCATGTGTTTTTTGATTGGTTGACGGTTAGGTCTTTGGAGAGAACGGGTGTGGAGAGGGTGGGATCCGGTGAGGGAGGGCTCTGTGGGGGTTTGTTTAAACGTGTGAGCGTGCCGTTTGGGTTGAGGATGATTCCCAGTGCCTTGTACGGGTCCATAGCTGAGTGAACGCTTGTGGATGCATATATGAGATACAAGGAGAGTGCCGTAAGTACTCCGTGCAGTGCCATTGCTCGTAGAATATTCTGTTTTGCCTTGCCTTGCCTTGCCTTGGTAACCCAAAAGATGATGGTTGCCCAAACCTGAAAGCTCTATCTATATATTATGGACACATGATAATCCATATCTTTATATGGACAACTTTATTTATTTAACACCGGAATCAGATTTCACAATTTCGAGAAATCGATGTGTTACATAACGTTTCTTTTTTCTCTTTTGCTATTTGTTAGATATCATTTCTATAGAAAAGGGAAATGAAGCAAATTAATTAATAATTACTAGTGCCCTGCCCTAAGCAGGAAACTAAGAAATAACGAAAGGTTGTTCTGTGTCGTTATTGCCATGACACCTGACAACAGCTGGCAAGTAGTTCCTGGACTAAGACCATAAATTATATACTCAGAAAGATATTTAAAAATAAAAGAAATGATAAATGCTGTAAAATAATGAATAGTATAATACATGCATCTGACGGTCCACAAGTATTTCTCCATCACAGCCAAATATCACCTTTGGATTGGAATACTCGTGAACAAGGTCAACGCCAAGTGGCAGTGACAGTTTCCACGACAGATCGGTGAGGCAAAGCCAAGTTATTGGGTAGCTCAACTCCGATGGAGTCCTGTGGGTCCCACCGAAAAAAGGTTGAACCAATAATAGCCCTTGGATTCTCACCGGTTTGATGCAATGGTTACGGTTAAGTGTTGGGAATGCGAGAGAGCACAGTGTAACTAGTTTGTAGCTATGGCCTATCCTAGTGAAGTGGGATTCAATGGATAACTTGTAAATAAATGATTGGTGTATAATTAATTGTAATGAGACATGTAACGAATTGGCAGATATTGGTTATTGTTGTTGTCTTCTTTAGTGATCGTGTTAAGTATGAATCCTTAGGCCCACTTATGTTATGACTGGGACTTACATTCATATGCTGCCTCTACTGTTCGATGCTGCGTCTAACCAGTTCTTCTGGTGATTTATTTAAAGAATCAATTGAGTGTGAAAATTGATACGAAATTATCATGAAACTGTAGCTTTTATTTTCTTCCGTATCGTGTAACTTTAGACTTGTCAAAATTATAAAAAAATGTAAATAAATTTCTAATAATTATTGATGATGTTTCGAATAATGTGTGTCAACATACAATTTATTTAATTATTTTTAATAATTAAAAGTTATTAAAATAAGTTAAAGAATGTTGAGTTGAAAAATAAAATTATTGACGACAATAAACAAAATATATATAGCGAGAGAACAATCATTGGAACGGCCCACTATTCGTCTGCATATATTTAGCCCATAACAATCATTTTGAAAATGTTGAAGCAGAAATGGTCCTTGCATAAATAGACTTGGACTGTTGGGCTTGTTTGTTCATTCTTTTGTGAGTCTCAAACTTACGGAATGGTGCTGGAACCGCCTAAAAGAAAACCTCTGAATAGGACATTTTTTATATCGTGCAAAAACAATGGGCATTTTGTTTTTGTTTTTTTCCTTTTAAAAATATAATTGTATAAATATGAATTGTAACCTTGACATTTGGTAGATATACACGGCCTTAGAGACTACTACTACAAATTAAATATAGTAGAGGTGATCACGGCCAAGATATATACTCAACAACTTCACAAATATATTAAATATCCATCTCATTTTCATAAACAGTAAGATGTATTATAAATTTCACACACAATAAAAAATCATCTTATTTTAAGATGATTATCACCTGGTGCTTTCAACTTGGACCGCATTGTTCTAATCTCTTCGTAGTTTTCATCACATTCGTCTTCTCCATTCTTGTAACTCAAATTTGGTACCTCTTTTATTCTCTTGCCTATGCCACCCTTGAGCCACTCCACTACCTCTATCATACTAGGCCTCTTCTCTGGGCTACTATCTGTGCACCTTATAGCTATCATGACAACAGATTTCAATTGCTCTAAATCAAAGTGCCCCTTCAATTTTGGATCAACAATGTGTTTGAAGTTACCCTTTTGAACATGTGGTGTGACCCATTGAACAATATCCCTTTTTACTCCACCAGGGAGTTTCTCAATTGGTTTCTTGGCACTGACAATCTCCAAAAGCAAAATCCCAAAACTGTAAACATCACAGCTCTCAGAAACCTTCCCCCACATGGCGTACTCTGGCGCCAAATATCCAAGGGTGCCTTTAACCCTCGTCGTTAAATGGCTTACTCCCTCTGGTATCAACTTAGCAAAACCAAAATCAGCAACCTTGGCTTGAAATTCAGGGTCTAAAAGAACATTGCTTGCCTTTATGTCTCTATGAATGATGTGAGGATTTGCCTCATGGTGCAAATACCTTAACCAAACAAACATAGGCCTTAATATATTATAAAGACACCAATGCTCAATAAGTTGAACCACCTATTAATTATATAAATGATCTTATGAATCGAATATTTCAAATAGAAGAAACTGAATAAATCACCAATGAATCATGTTTGAATTTCTGTTTGACCAGTTCAAAGGACGATGTAAATTTGATTGCTTGCGTGTTATTTTACTGAAAATAAAGATTTCATCATATCATGAAATATAGAGAGATGAAGGTGCACTTACGCTAAACCTTCAGCTGCTCCAATTGCTATGCTCATTCTTTTAGGCCAATCTAGCAAACAATCCGCAGCAAGTTGACCGTGCAAATGGGTGAGCAAGCTGTGATTAGGCATGTAATCATAAACAATCAACCTTTCATCTCCTCCTGCATAGAATCCACGCAAGCCCAACAAATTCTTATGCCTCACCCTTCCAAGTACTTCCACTTCTACTGCAAACTCCATCTCTGCCTTTGCGGTCATAGCCTTCAAGCGCTTCACTGCTATCTACAAGTTCCATTATTACAGACATTAGCATCGTGCAAGTTATTTTCTGAGTAAGAAAAATGTCACATAAATTAAATTAATTTTATTAAAAACAAATTAAATATTCAAAAGATTGAGAAATAAATATTATATATGAATGTAATTGCCTCGACGCCTTTACTTGTTCGACCCCAATAAACACTTCCGAATCCACCCTCTCCAATCTTGTTATCTTGATGAAAGTTGTTTGTTGCACGAAGCAACTCCTTCAAGGTGTATATTTCCCATGGATAGTCCTTATTTTTCTTGTTGTTGGCATTCCTACGGTGAAGTAAAAAAAATAAAAAAACATAACGAAACTCAAGAATAAGAATATACATATATTTGTAACAATTATCATCACAAGTTTGAGGAAATGAAATGGATTAATATGATGAAAGCATACTGTATTTTGGTTTGGTCAGCTTCACAAAGAAAACAACAGAAACATTTCAATTGCATTTTAGTTGAAGAATCTCTAGGATGGTATCCAGAATCGAAATTCCCCTACTGGAAAATAGATGAATACGCATAAGAAGTGGAAAGAAGAAGGAAAAAAAAAATTTGCAAGAAAGAACCAAAATTATATCGGCAAATGCGAAGAAACAATAAATAAGAAAGCCTTATGGGTTATGATGACGACAAAGGGCTGCTTTGGAAGTCAAGGAAGAGACGCTAGCCAATTCAGTGAGTATTTTAAGCTTCAAATGGTATATGCTATTGTTTACAAGCTTTTGTCAAGCAACATTTTCCATTGGAAATGTCATACATATATAAATATTCGGTTTGAGTAAACACTCCTTAGCGTTTTATTTAATTGTTTCTATATATTTTTTGTATAGGTAATTGAAAATTTAATCCAAGGATAGTGACACAATCAGTGCCAATTCTTTTTTCCTGATAAAACAATTTAAAACTGGCCATGGAGGTGTACATACAAAGCTAATGAAACCTGTAAAACGTTACGGTTCTAAGTAATTGACAAAATATGTCTTAATCAAAGACAGTTCGCAGCATCTTCATATTATTATTATGGAGAAAATAAAACCCATAAAGGGTGATTATGCTTTTGGGACAAGTTCTATGAGAGTAGGGGTCCAATGAGGGTTTGAAATCATCAATATATATATATATATATAATATAATATAATATAATAACATAAGTTTATAACTGTTAAAAAAATATACTTTTTTCTAATAAGTCAGTAGAATTAAATTGTTTGATAAACAAAGTATAAAAGGAGCTGATAACTTTTAAAAATTAGTCTATAAAAAGTTAGTTAAAATAGCATTTACTTATTGATAGTTGATTACCAACATTCTTATTTTTAAGCTTTTAAATAATATACATTTACACAAAATAGTCCTAACTTTTAAGATTTATAACATGGTATTACTAGGATTGATAAGCTAGAAAAATGTATTTTCTGTGAGTATAAATTATTCAACAGATTAAAGATAATAAAAATTTATAGCAGTTAGTTCAATAAATTAAATGTTACATAAAGTAGTTTTTTACTAACTATCCTTTAAAGGTTATAAACCTAAAATTAAATTATAAATTTTGAAATCAATTATAAACTTGTGTTACTAAATATGCTTTTTAAAATAACATTGATGTTGTCATATTAGTTTATTTTTTGAAGTTCATTAATTATGTTAATTTACATGATCATATTAAATTAATATCATTTCACATAAAAGTATGAGCAATCTTTGCTTAAGAAAATATTTAAATTAATACTGTATGCAATTTATTTTGTATTGATAAATAAATTGTTTGCAACTACATTTTTTTAAATAAAAATAGTTTATCCTATAAATAAGCTATGTGTTTACAGAAAATCTTTATTTTGTACAGAAATTATCACAATAAGAAAGTAACTTATGGTCACATTAAGCACTTCCGTGTTTCACTTTATTATTTTTATAATTAACAGTAAATGGCATTACATTTTTAATGACCGGTTATTTTAAGTGTTTATATGTTTATTTTTTTAAAAAGCAAACTACTCTCGCAGTGTTATTAATGTTTTTGCCTAAAGTATGATATTACATAAAAGGTACCCGTGATCTAAAAAATAATTAACTCTGCATCATTATTCATATTTCACATACATAACATGCAATTTGGTTTACAATTACCCATTTTAAATTTTTAACCCTGGAAAAGGGAATCTACGACAAAATTCAGTTCTGATTTCGAAAGAGAAAATGGATTTATGTTATGCTTAGTAAAAATAACTTGTAACTATTTAGGAGTTTGAAGTTTAATTATTATTTTAAAAAATTGTTTGATAAATACAAATTTTATGCTTGAAAATTTTTGTCGTAATACCAGAGAAATAAGTAATGAAAGCTTAAATAAGGGTAAAAGAAGAAAAAAAAGATTTTATTAAAAAAATTCGAATATAATGTATTCTTATTGGAGTTTACAATAAAGAAAAATAATAATTTTTTAATCAAATTAATATTTAAAAAATGATTTATTTAAAATGTTTAAATAATCAAAATGAAAAAAAAAAAAAACCAAAGAAATAAAATAAAAAGTTAAGGATGTATCTGTGAATTTTGTCTTTTCCTTTACATTCGATACCAGGCAGCATTTATTGTCTTGCCAAATGACATGACAAAGTAGATTAACAAAGTAGATAATACAAATGACATAACAACAAAGTATTGTCTTGCCAACACATCAATGAAGACTTATAGACATTCTGGGACATGGAAGGGTCATTCAAAAAGATCCCATGCCGACCCCCTTCATAAAATTTCCCTCAACAAGCCCACCCTTGCGCTGGAGCAATTCCACAAACTCTTTCTGACGGTCCACGAGTGGGTCACCTTCACACCGAAACACCGCAACCCTCCACATAAGCACCCTAATCCGATTCAATGTCTTAGCCCCACCCTTCACCATTGGATTGGAATACCTGTAATCAAGGTTAACCCGTGTGGGCAATGACACATTCCACATCAAATCAGCAACTGCCAAAGGCAAAGTCCCATCCTCAGCGAGCCTCTTCTCTGATGGGGTTCTCTTCGTCCCACCAAAAAACGATTGAATCAATATCAGCCCTCGTATCCTTAGCTACTCGATTTGATAAAGCTTCGTAGCTGCACGTAGACCCACGTTGTATGCAATATTGCCCCCGGCACTATCTCCGATGAGATAACAGCGGGAGTAATCAGCGTGGCACGTCAACCACAGGTCGTTGTAGGTTTTGATCTAGTTCAGCGCCTTCACGGAGTCTTCAAAGGCCGCAGGAAGACGGTGCTCGAGGGCGAGGCGGTAGTTGACTGAAACGACGAGGGATTGGGTTCGGTTAACGACATTGACGCAGAAATTGTGGAAGTAAGTGAAAGCGGCGCCGTCGAAGATGAAGCTGCCACCGTGGTAGAAAACGAAGAGTAGTAGTTGGAGTTAGAGTAGGGGGCATTATCCAGTGCTTCGTGGGACAGGTAGACCCGAGCCCATGTGTTTTTGGATTGGTTGACGGTTAGGTCTTTGGAGAGAAGTGGGGTGGAGAGGGTGGGATCCGGTGAGGGAGGGCTTTGTGGGAGTTTTCCTAAACGTGAGTGTGCCGTTTGGGTTGACGATGTGCAGTGTCATTACCAGTAGATTATTCTGCTGTGCCTTGGTAACCCAAAAGATATTAAACGATGCCCAAATCTGATATATACCTGAATCTGATATCGACAACTTTAATGATTTAAGGTCGGTATCAGATTTCACAACTTTTTAAGAAAAGCTGTGTTATGATGATGACAAAGAGATGCCTTGGAAGCTAAGGAAGAGACACGAGGCTATTCAGTGAGTATTTTAAGCGTCAAGATCAAGGGGGTGTATGCTAGTTTTTACAAGCTTTTGTCAAGCCTTCTGTGTTTAATCACATAAATTTATATGTAATTTAAGAATTATACTTTTTTCTATAAATAAGTTAGTAGAATTAATTGTTTTATAAACAAAATATTAAATAAGTTGATAAAGATTAGCTTAAGAAGAGTTACTTTAAATAACATTCATGATTAGTTACTAATATCTGTATTTGTATTTGTATTTTTTTTTTTTTTATTTAATTTAAATTTAGTTTGAGTCGTGTACTGGGATACGATGAATAAATTTATTATTAAAAAATTTTTATATGCACAAAAATTATTGAGTCACTTATCATTTGGACTAATTTCTATTTATTTTGTATTTATATTTTTAATTTTTTAAATAATACACATTCATATAAAATAATCCTTTAACTTTTAATATTGATAACGTGGTACAACTAGAATTGATAAGCTAAGAAAATATATTGTCTGTAAGTATAAATTATTAAAATTAGAATAAGAAAAAAAAATATTAGCAGTTAGTTCAATAAATTTAATATTACATTAATAGCTTTTTCATTATATCTTTTACAGGTTATAAGCTCCATTAATCTTTTATTTATTAAATCTAAAATTAAATTAAAAAGTTTTAAATTAAATATAAACTTGTGTTACTAATTCCTTGTTATAATAGTTTTAGAATTGATTTTTTAAATAACATTGCTGTTGTCATGTTAGTTTATTGTTTTTGAATTCATTGTGTTAATTTGTATGATCGCATAAATTAATAGTATTTTACATAATAGCATGAACACTCTCTGTTTAAGAAATTATTTAAACTAATACTATATGTAATTTACTTTGTATTAAAAAATACATTGTTTGCAAATTTTTTTATTAAGAATAGTTTATCCTATAAATTAGCTACGTGTATACAGAAAACTTTATTTTGTAGAAACTATCACAATTAGAAAAGTATTTTATGATCACATCAATGTTAAGCACTTCTGTGCTTTACTTTGTTATTTTTATTGTTAACAGTAAATGGCATTACATTTTTAATGACCAGTTATTTTAAGTGGTATGTGTTTATTTATTTATTTTAAAGCAAACTAGTCTCGCAGTGTTATTAATGTTTTTGCCTCAAGTAAGATCTTACATGACAGATACCCAAGATCTGAAAAATAATTAACATTACATCATTATTCATTTTTAATCACTTTATAAATTAATAATGCTTTATTTTAATGTATGTATAAGAGTATATAATGAAAAATTAAAATACTAATTTTTAAATATAATATTTAATATTATTAATATATCATATTTAGTGATAATTTATCGTTTATAATAAAAATTCATTGTATATCTTTAAACACATGTTAGAAAAATAGATTATTATTTTTTAAAATATATTCTCAATATTCAACGTCCGTGTGTGCGTTTCCTCCCGTTTGCTTGTTGTGAACATCATTCGTTATTATCCTAATTATTAATGGCCAATCAAGGTAATTAAGATGTCAATTTTGGACAAATAAAATATAAAACCAGTACGTCCTATGTTTTTTTCTCATTAATCCTATGTGCATGTCCAGTATCAGGGGGGATTATGACATGTTGGAATTGCATTCCATATATTTTGGTATTCCATATCCATGTGTTTAAAGCTTTATCTCTATTAATATTAATACATA